TTATACAAAGAAAGTCATGCCGACGAAGAAAAATTAGGGAAGCCTGCTTAGGTGTTACGTGCAAGAATAGAGCACTAGAGTGTGATACAATAACAGAGTCACCAAGGAAAGACATTTTCCAAGAATTCTATTTACTTGCAAGCCTCCAACTTCAACGTGAGTTCATTCTGCGCCATGTAGTGAACAGTGACAAGGAGAAGGAAAGCTCACACCAAAGTCGGTGCCAGAAGACCAATGTATATTACCTGACTGCTCAAGGAAGCCGTGTTAAAGTTTGCTAAAAACTCTCTTGAACACTTTAACCATATCAGACAGAACAGTGAGAACAGCCTTCAAGAAATTGACACCCAGTGGAACAATAGAGAAAGAAAGAAGAGGTGGTCGGCAATCTGAAAAAATTGTTGAAAGAGACACAAGAATTTGAAATGACATTGAAGAGCACCTGCGACGGTTCCCAAGGATGGAGTCGCATTATTGCCGTGCAAGCACTGCAAAGGAGTATCTGCCCCCAGACGTGAACCTTAAAAAATATACTCCATGTTTCTAGAGCAGTACAATGGGACTGACCCTCCAAGTTTCAGTACGTACAGCCGAGTGTTCAAAAAAGCAAACTTGGCTTTCTACACACCCAAAAAGGACCAATGCTCACTGTGCACAACGTTCTTTGAAGGGGATGACACAACAAAGGCTGAACTCAAGACACATTCAAGAAACATGTCTCTGAAAAGAAAAGAGTAAGAGAAATAAAGGAGGAATGCAAACAAAGAGCATCAAAGGATAGAACAGTTCTGATTGCTACATTCGATTTGCAGCAAGTAATATATCTTCCCATCTCGAATGAAAGTGCTTTGTTATACAAGCGGCGCTTCTCCAACTATAACATGACTTTTTATAACCTTGGAAATGCTGACTGCCACTGCTTCCTGTGGAATGATAGCCAAACCAAGCGTGGAAGCTCAGAAATATCCACAGCTGTGTTCGAAGCGCTTCAGCACTATGACAGTTGTGTGAAAAAAGATAGCGTACATCTTTTAGGATGGCTGTCAGGGGCAGAACAAAAGCACTATCATTCCAACAATGTTGCTACACGCTGTGAAAACACTTTCAAATCTCAGAGAGATCTCCCAGCGGTTCTTTGTGACAAACTACGGCCAAATGAGGGGGACTCTGTTCATAGCACTATCTCCTCTGCGATGTCTGCAGCTGGGAACGTCTATGTACCAACAGAGCTGACGCCCATATTCAGACTTGCCAGAGCAAAGCAGCCTTACACCACGATACCACTTGAGTTCTCTGACTTCTGAAATTTCAAGCAACTATCATTCGTGTTCTGGGAGTTCAAAGAGATTCAGAGAATGACACTATCAACTGGAACAAAATGATGGAGTTCAGAGTTCTGAAGGAGTGCCCAACAACGATATTCTTCAAAACCAGCCATATTGAGTCAGAGTACGGAACAATCCAATTGAAGAAACACACTAAGCAAACCACTGAGAGTTTCACTCTCTTCAAACTCAACACAGAACCAACCAAAGTTACAATGGCTAAGTACAATGACTTAGTGTCGATCTGCTCTGGCGTAACGCCAGTGGTAAGACAAGCTGATCACAAGGCTTTCTATTTTTCACTCCCCCATTAAATTCTACAGAGATATTCTTGGATGCTCATAGTGTTACTTACTGATACATCTACATTATGTGAATTGCTTTCCAACATGGTTACAGTTCAAATGAGCAAAAACGGCTCCAAAATATGTCTTTATTTGTTCAAATTTTCTTCAATAAACAGTGAAAATCATAGTGAGATCTCATGTTTTTTATGCCATTGTGATTTGGTTCTTTCATTTTGCGTATTATGAAACAAAAATTAGAAACACAGTGTTTTTCCTTCCTGCAATACAAAGGAAATGTAATGATACGACACTTGGTGAGATACGTTCATTGATGATGGGACCGATGAAGGTATATCTCACGAAGTGACGAATCGGATTTTCTCCTGATTTTCTCACAGGAATGATACAATACTGCCGAAAACAGCATGTGGAGTGAAAATGTACCGCTCAAAGAAGCTTTGATCCAAACCGCATAGATTTCAGTCTTCAGGTTTCGACGCCAGAGCAAAAAGAAAAGTGCCCAAAACTTTAAACCTCTCTCCTGCAAAACTCTACTTTTGCAGATACGACACTTCGTGAGATGACCGACGATTTGATTCAAGAATGATTATTGCTTTTTTGTTGACTATCTTTGTTTGTCTGCTTAGACATTGTATCAAATTATTTACATTGTGTAGATAGGGGCACACAACACGTTCAATGGAAATATCAGAACATACTTTGTGGACGTAACAGTTAAATGATGACTACTTCAGTGGGTGGCTAAAATGTTTCTTGTTCTTTGCATACGATGACTATTTCTATAATATAAGTTATCAGCCTATAAAATTAAATAATCCCAGAATAAACAGAAAGTCTTCGTTCGTTGGTCAAAACCATATTTTATCTACTGCACTATATCAAGTGACGACGTCACTTATATTCGCAAAACAATAAAAGTAATAATTTTTACACAAACGCGAATTTTTTCTTCAGATCTATATTCTTCAACTGACTACCCAGAGTACATGATGAAAATGAAACCTGCACCTTCCACCGAAGTATGTGATACCTTTGTACCTTCTTTTGGTGACACGAATTGACTTCGGTTAGACCCAACGACCGACATATTGTAAGCTTTTTACTTTGAGTTGGATCAGAGGTTTAGTATGAAAGATCCATGGTCGATATTGATCTTGAGATTTTAGTCAGCCCACAGAAGCTTGAGATATTATTTCACGTTACATTAACGTCCAACTTATTTAGTATGCATTAAATCTTTTCTAAAAGAAAAAAATTGAAACTGAAATACCGTTGTTATATTTCCTGTTTGTTCTGAGGTTCCAAAGTTCCATTGATTCGCTTATTATTATTCTGTACGAAGTATAGTATGTATTTCACTGATGTTTTGAAAAGTCCTGGATCTGCATGTCTAGACTAAGGAAAGCAAAATGTGGTAATTATATGAATAAAGCCGTTGCAAAGGGAGACTTGGGAAACCCCAAAGAATGTCAGAGAAAAGGACGTTTAATTGAACAAAACAACACGGGAAAAGTTTTAAATCTACTGAGTAATATTATTCTTTCCTTTGATACTGCTGTTCACAGATGGGAATTGCTCTCCGATCTGGCCTCGGGCAGGATTTTAAGCAACTTTATCTTTAACTATGCTGACCATGTTTCCTCTCTGGAGAATATCAAGAGGTCAATATGTAGAAGTAGGGGACTGGTTCTTGTGTAATCTGCTTTATTGCCCAGGAAAAGTTGTATCATGTATACTGCTTTGAGATCATCTGTCAGGTTCGAGTGCAAGTTAAGTTTAAAGTATCTTCGACCTGTTCGCAGTGCTATCACATCTACCCAGTGTTCTGACGAGAACCGGGCTCTACCCCTTCCTTGTGACCTACTAAGTGTTTGAAGAATGTTAAAAATTAAAAGTTAATACAAGTCTTTCCTACACACTGGAATCTGGATGAGTTTCGTTCATGATCTTGATGGTAGCACTTTGCCCAGTACTACAACGAGCACATTTGTATGTGTAACATGATGACAATGAAGTACATTGTATTGTTGCTGTTGTCAATGAATCATGAAGACGAAAACACTAAGCAATCTGCAAAGTTAAAAAGCCAATAGGAACCTGAAATTGAGACATCATTGTAGTAAAGGTAAATGGTATTCTGCAACTTTCTAACCCGTCGTCATTGGCAAAACAATCTGTAAGCACCCATGCAGCTGCACACAATAAATCACCTTATCATGCCACTTTGTGGAAATAAAATTATTGCGAAAAGGTCCATGTTTAACTTTCAAACGACAGTCACTCTTGAAGTAGAAAACATACCTATTACTCTGTATTAGTGTTTAAAAAACCCCATCCGACCTTGTCGTTTTCTTTTGAAATGGTGCGTGTACGAATTGTGCGAAAAAGTTTGATGCATTGTGAAAAACAATTTTATGCAACGTTCCAAGAGCTGTGGTATCACTCTGACTTCATGGCCCACCGTTCAATTCTGCGAGACTCAGCAACACACATCTTAGCAAGCCGCATTCCTTTCTGAAGTCGTTACTTTCATAAACATATTCGCAGTAGACATTTTTTTTATCAAATGCCGACTACCGCGTGAAAACTCTTCCATAGGAAGCAAGCATTACATGTTCATTAACACACAGTATTACTGTTTTAACATTTTAAAGGCCACCTCAGAAATGTTCATCCTCGATTCCGTCTTTTCTGATGAACATAGCTCTAGAAATAATCATCCCATTGAGCGTGCACGAAATAGCTGTGCTTTCCTCGGTACTGTCGGATTACGTATAAAAATCTCTCCCTTTCCAATACATATTTTCCTCTTATCAAAGTCTCGTGATTTTGTCATTGAATAAATGGTCTCTGCTTGTTTTTCTCAGAATTGACCCATTGTCTGAGCTGTGTGCCTCGTATTCCGACTTCCGAAACTTGTTACGAGAAGCTGAAGATTTTGAAGGTGGCGGAAGATACGCTCCACTCCCTCCCCCACCTCTTCCGCACGTGCGCAGACAGAGAATACGCTTGAAGGCTTCACGAAACTCTGTGTTAAAAATGGAGTAGATGATAGGGTTGAGGCACGAATTGGCGTAACCAGCCCACGTGACGATGACGAAGACTTTGGGAGGTATCAGCGACGGATCGTACGCCGAGATGGGATTGATGATGAAAAAAGGGAGCCAGCAGACGAGAAACACGCCTGTGATGACCCCCAATGTGAAGGCCGCCTTGTGGTCAGACGCCCGGATGGAGGAGCGTGAAGATCCGTTCGAGACC